TAAAACCAGTCAGTGTGTCTGTCTTCAGAGTGGTGGCCCCGTCATGCCTCCCTGGGAGGTCCCCCCACTGCTGGTGAAGCCAACTGTGAACAAGAGCTAGTGGTGTGGGTCCCAGGCCAGCATTCAGCTGGTGACGGGGTCTGAGCGCTGCACTGTGAGTCTCCCTGACCACACAGTGGCCTTGTGCTCTGGGACAGGGACCGGCATCCACCTGGCCTGGCCTTGGTTAATGAGTCGTTCGGCTTAGGCTGTCCCCAGGTCACCAGCTGAGTCATCGCGCCCTGCCTGAGCCGCTGCATCTCTGCTGGCTATGCCGGGAAGGCCTGTGGAGCTGGGGGAGGGAGGGAGCCCCCAGCCTGGCGGGTTCAGGGCAGGCTGAGCAGGAGTAGGCCGTCAGGTCTCCCCGTGAGCCCTGATGTGCTAGACTCCTGCTGCTGAACGCTTAAGCGGTGCTCGTCCAGGAGTCAGCAGACCCCTTTTTAGGTGCTGTTGTCAGGTGCTTGTGGCTTCGACCAACACACTTATACACAGGATTCTTCTTTGGCGCATTTGTGACAGAAGAATGATACTCAGTTGATTGTATCAGGACACACATGCAACGTGTTCTGGTGATTTTCATACCCTTTATCCCCTCTGTCTTTGCTCCCCTCGCCCCTTTCCTCACCTCTAAGTTTCCTTTTAGTTTCCTGACATCTTCCCTTTATTTTTTTTAGATTGCTCATATAAGGGAAAACATGCAATATTTATCCTTCTGAGTCTGGCTTAGTTTGCGTCCATAATGGCCTCCGGTTCCATCTGTTTTCCTACGAAGGACAGGATTTTGTTCTTCTTATGGCTGAGTACTAGTCCACTGTGTGTACCTCATTGTTTTATTCCCTGATCAGCTGATGGGCATCTAGGCTGTTCCCACAACTGAGCTGTGGTCAGTTGCTTTGGCTGGCAGACTTGGAAAGAGATCTTTAGTGGAAAGCAAACCTGGCTGTACAGCATTTTCTCCTTATTTGTGGAAGTGCACGCCAAGATCTCCAGTGATACCCAGAACCATGGATAGTACCAAACCCTGTTTAAGCAGTGTGATTAAAAAATATGGCAAGTGCATAAATTTTTCAAAATTTTATTATAGTAAAAGATACATTGTCGTCAGTCTGCGGGAAGTCCTCGCCCTCACTTTGAACACGTTTATCCCACTGTTCTTGCCACCCTCTGAAACAGTCCTGAAGTCTTCTTTTGTGCCTCTAGTTGCATTGTCATGGCTGCCTGGGTGTCCTGAATTAGTTCCAAGCTCTTCCAGTCATTTTGACTTGGGGAACAGCCAGAAGTTACACAGTGCCGAATCTGATGAATAAGGTGCATCAGGACACACAGTAATGTTTTTATTTGACAGAAATTGCCATAGATATTTTACGACATCCAGGTAGCTACAAAAAGACACTCGTGAAAGAACAGTTCCAGAATGGCTTCAGAAAGTAAAAAGAAAGTTGGGCAAAGCGTGTTTGAAGCAAAGGGAAGTATTTTGAGGGGAATTAGCGATGATGTGTCTTTTACTGTAGTAAATCATTTGAAAAGTTAAATATGCACCTTATATTTTGATCACGCCTCTTATAGTAGGTTTTTTCTACACGTGATACCTAAGTTTAATGTATAAACTAGGTACAGCAAGATATTAACTAATAAAATAGAACAATTATAATAGTATGCTGATAAAAGTTGTGTGGATGTGGTCAGTCTCTCTGTCTGTGTCTGTGCGTGTCTCTCTCAAAATGCCTATTGTTTTGTACTGTTTTCCGACCATAGTTGACCATAGTTGAAGTCACAGAAAGTGAAACTGCAGAGAAAGAGGTGGGGGACCCCTGTGTTTAACCAGAAATGAGTAGAACTGACCTTCGGGAGTGTGTTGGGGTCTGGGCAGTGGTAGATGAAAGCAGAGTCCAGAAGCACAGCCTGTGTCGCTACCTTTTCTAAAGTGTCAGGAGAGGCGACCTGATCCCTGGAGCAGCTGGAGACCAGCCTTCTGGGTCTGGGCCTCGGACTGCCGGCTATGGTGGAGGCTGAGGGACCACACAGGATAGAGGCCACTGGCTGCCGGCGCTCACCCTGGGCTGGGAGAGACTTTCTGGGCCAGGGTTGCGGACACAACAGAGGGTGGACTCTCATCCCTATACTTTTTGAACATTTCTGGTAACAAAGAGCTAGAGTAACAAAATTATAATACAGCAGGTCCTTTGGTCCAAGCATACAAGGATGCTGTGGTAGAGGGTGGGTATGAGCTTAGACCCACTGTGGAATCATTACCTCAACAAAGGACTTAGCTAGCCAGGCGCAGAGGTGCACATCTGTAATCCCACCTATGCAGGAGGCCGAGGCAGGAGGATGGCTTGAAACCAACCAGCACAACATAGCGAGGCCCTGTCATCAAAAGAAAAAAGACAAAGCTAGGTGTTGTGGAGCATGCCGGTAATCCCAACACTTGAGAGGCAGGGGCAGGAGGATAGCTACAAGTTCGAGGCCAGCCTGGGCTACATAGTGAGTTTAAGACCTGCCTGGACTACATAGCGAGACCCTGTTTCAAAAAGCTAAAAAAGAGAGTCCTTTGTGGTTATGTAAATCTCATAGCACTGCGTGGCAAATTGGAGTGCTTTCTTAGCAAGCCTTAAATCACTTTCTTCTATTCTGTTTTATCTGTGTAAATAGCTATTTAGGGAAAAAGGTGTTTTTGAATTATGACTGTAATGTTAATGGCAGATCTTTGCCAGTAACTTGATTTCTTTTTTTGTTTTCTTTGCTAGTGTCAGATCAACAGTGCCTTGACTTCTTTCCATACGGCTCTGGAACTTGCAATCGATCAGAGAGAAATCCAGCATGTCTGTCTGTATGAAATTGGTAAATATGAAATGTTTGTCTGTCCTCTTGTGAAGGAGTTTTGAGGCTTGCTAGCGCGGCTTTTCACCTGGAGTGCTGCTCAGTTTGCAGAATGCTGCCTCGCGTCATAAGGATTTGATTGTCCCGCACAGGGGACAATCTCTGGTGCTCATTATTTCCTTATATCATATTCAAAAGACAGGTAATGTTACAGCCATTTGTAAATACCTTACTGGACTGAACATTGGCATTCAAAGCTGTGCTTCCTTTCTTCCAATGCTTACTTGAGAAGAAAATAGATCAGGGAGAGAGTTGGTCCCCAATATCAGCTCTCCACTGACCAGCCCTGAGATGGTGAACGGTTGCCATTGGGGTAAAGTTTTGTGCCCCCCAAAGCTGTGAGGTTCAGATGAGGCCCTCTGTGCTCCTCTGCGGCTTCTTTGTGCTTCTCCCACACTGGAGATGAATTTATAAATAAACTTGGAAGAGTTTATTTGCCTACGATCTCCCCCTCC